CTGATGCTGCGCGCTGCAGATGGAGGGCCCTGGGCTGCGGCGCTGCAACGCGGCAAGGCCAGCGGCAGAGCAGGGGCGGGGATGACGCTGTTTGGTCACGCCTGGACCACGGCCACCCCCCGCGTCGAGGCCGGCTGCGACCGCCGCGGCCGCCGCTGCGCACCTCCGCCTCGAGCTTCTGGAAGAAGCGCTCCTCCGACGCGTCCGCCTTCTTCGCGGCGCGCGCGATCGAGAGGGACGTTGTGCGCGGCGAGAACGCCGCCGGGCCCGATGAGTCCGCCTCCTTGGCGCTCTCCTTAATGAGGTCCTTCAGGCCCTTGTAGTCGAGGTAGAAGGGAACCCATTCCTCCTTGGCCTGCTTTTCGAGGTACTTGCCGAACTTCATGGCTGCCGAGTGCACAATCCACCTAGGTGCGCGTGCTCAGATCGCCGGGTTCGAGTTGGGGGCCTTGAATGTCCCCGCGCGTCTAATCCAACGACTACGGTTCTCCTATAGCGTGTGTAGCCGCTGAGGAAGCGCTCCGCTGACTGGGGCTTCCTGGGACTCGGTCCGCAGATCGATCGTATCGCACTTCAAAGCGATGCCTGCGGTTCGGTTACTTCCTGCTCTTAAAAACCTGGAAGCAGCAAGACCGCACCGCGGCGGCCCAGCATCATTGGGTCACCCGGTGAATTTTATGCCCTTGCTCATTGGCATCAAGGCCGCGGGGCGAGCGTCCGGGTCCGCTGTCGGGCGCGTTGTATGTGCTTCAAACCACAAGAAGCGACCACAGAATCACGCTATAGCGCGCTTTTGGCTGCTGCAGATCGGCCATTTGTGCTTACCTTCGTCAACCCTGATAGACGAAAACGTGCCCGGGAGGCGCTCGTAGCACTCAATAGAAGCCTGTCAACATGGCCGGCGAGCCTAGCCTGCGGCGAACGGAGGCAAAGGCCTACTTTGGTGAGCAGCTTTGTGCCCAGATCCCTTGCTCGAGCTTGCTCCCCTTCTGTACAGGTTTATGCGTGACTTCATGCGTGGTTGTGCCTCCTGTTGGGACACCAAGGGCCCAGCCAGCAGTCCGCCGAGCAGCAATACGACGATGCGCTGGGCCCAAGGGAGTGTGCTCTGCTGCTGGTGCTGGGGCGCTCCCTACGCCCCCTGACCCCCTCCGACCAACCGCTGTCCCGGCGCAGCCAACGAGCGCACGTTCCTCCACTGGATGAACATGGCGGTGACCATCGGCAGCATATCGGCCGCCATGTCGGGTGGGGCCTGGGGGCATGTGGGCCCAGAGTCTTGAGCATGCCTACACGCGTGGTTGTACCTCCTGCTGCTCGTCGCCGTCGCCCTTGCCAGACCGCGCAACACCTGGCGCCGCGCGCCGGCACAGCAGCGGCGGCCGCCTCACGTCCTGCGGCCGAACTGCTTGGCGCTCGCCGTCGCCGCGGCTGCGCCCGGTCGCAGACAGCATACGTGCACGCGCCCCCTCTCATCTGCACCTCGTTGCCCCGCACCCCTCGGCCCTTTGGCAACAAGCCCGCCCATCCCGCGCACGCGCACGCTCGCCCTCGCGCCCTTGCCGGCGCCCAGGCGTCGCCGGCCACGCGCACCGCAAGTGGGGGGACGACTTCACGTCCGGCGCCACCATCGTGCGCGTGCTGTCGATGCTCATGCTGCTGCTGTCGATCATCATCGCGGTGTGGTCCGGCTTCAACTTCAACAGCCGCGCCAACATGCTCACGTGAGGGGCCGGATTCCTGCAGTCCGTGCCTTTGTACTTGCAGTCCAGACCTTCGCAGCTGCAATTCATGCCCTGATTCAAACCAAGGAGGAAGGGGGGTCCAAGCAGCCTGTCACGTGTTGGTGTTGAAGATGATTCCGGGCGGCTGCAGGGATGGCATCAAACGCGCGGGAGTTGGACCCCTCTCTGGCCACTTTTCGCGACCCCGTTGAGGCCGCCGCTCCTGTGTTCAACCCACGTGCCCCGGACTTTCTCCTGTCGCCCCACCGCAGCCTCAAGGGGGACGGCCCCTACGACAGCCGCTTCCTGCCGGCCACCATCGCGGTCTGCCTCGTGTCCGCGCTCGCGGTGGTATTCAGCGGCGCGGTCGTGCGGCTGCACGCGGAAACGTGAGCTCGGACGGCCTGCATGTGGACTGCACGCCGCGGCTGCGCTGGCCCCGGCGCGCGTGGCCCCGCCCTGGCGCCACGGCGCGCCTCTGGTCTGGCGCGCAGCCGCATCCGTTCGAGCGGGGCTGAGACGCGCCTGACGACGAGCGCCGCACGGCCCCAGGCCTATCCCCAGGCTCCTGTTTTGGGGCCTTTTTTTTTCGTGCGGCCTGGTGCACGCGTGTGATCCCAGGGGGAGGGGCCTGGGCATGCCCTGCGCCTGTCGCGCCAAGTTGAGCACTTGTATCGACAACGGGCGGACTTTCTCATTCCTGCACAAATGCCTCACTGCTTCGGCACCCCCCCGCACCCAAGTGCGTCTCCAGCAGCGCGCGCCGGACGCTCTGTGCGGCCTGCGCTTGACAACCCTCCGTTTCGTTCCTAGCCTGTAACTCTGCAACGCTGCTGCGAGTGCACCCGCATGGATTCTCGGCATGTTGTATAAGAATGGCATGATACCTGTGAGGACACCTGAATGCAAAATATTGTCACGGAAACGACAGCATCCTCCGCCGCAGGCTTGCTGCCGCCGCCGCGACGTCCCGCAGGGCGTCCCCGCCGCCGCTCCCCCAGCCGCCCGCCAGCGCCTGCGCCCACAGCGCCGGCTGCAGGGGCCCGTCGCCGCCGCCGCCGCCGGCCGCGCCGCCGCCGCCGCTGCCGCTGCTGCCGGCGTCGGAGCAGCAGCGCGCCCATTCCGCCAGCTTGGCAGTGGCTGTCAATGCGAGCCGCAGGGCCGCAGGGCTGGATAGCAGGTCATCCACCGCCGCCTTGGCTGTGGGGTGCGGGGGCGAGCGGGTTGGCAAGGCGGGTGGTAGCATTCAGAGGCGATGGGCGCCGCCGCTCATAGCACCAAGGGGAGGGGAGAGGTGCCGCGGCCAGGAGTGGCGCTGCGCTGGCCGCCCATGGATTGAAGAGCTGCTGGAATGGGCCCTGCTGAGCAGCCCTATGGAGCAGGCCAGCAAGGGGCATGGCACTCCCACTGCAGCCGCGGACCCAAAGGATTAGATCCCACCAAATCTTGCTCACCCAAAGAATCCGACCCCGAAATCAGCGAGCGCGCCAGCAGCGCCGCCTCCTGCGCCAGCCGCATCCGCTCCCACCACTCCCCGCCGCCGCCGCCGCCACACGCGCCGCCGCCGCGGGGCCGCGGGCCGGGCCGCGCCCACGCCAGGGGGTCGGAGGCAGGCGCCGAGCAGGCGGCATCAGCCAGGGCCAGCAGCCGCTGGGCGAGGCCCTCACCACAGGACAGCTCCTCCGAAAACAGCGCCCCCAGCAGCGTGCCACGCGGCCGCGCCTGCGCGAGGGCCGCCACCGCCTCAAGGGCGCGCCGCTGCAGCTCGAACGCGCCCCAGCGCCCGGCGGGCGCGGGGGCGCGGGGGTCGCGCCGCTGGCGGGGGTCACCGGTTCCGCCGCCGCCGCCGCCATCGAGAGGGGCGCTCAGGCAGTTGAGCAGCCCGAGCATCACATCTGCCGCTGCTGCGTTGCTCACCGCCGCCACCGGCTGCGAGCAGCCCCCGCCAGCGCCGCCGCCGCCACAGCGTGCGTCCTCGCCCGAGCTGGCTGCGTTCGCCTGCAGCCGGCCAGGTGCAGGCTGCGCCGCTGGTTCTGACCGCCTGCCCCTTTCCTGCTGCTGCTGCTGCTGCTGCTGCTGCTGCTGCTGCTGCTGCTGCTGCTGCTGCTGCTGCTCCAACGCCCCCGCGTCGCCCGAGACCCGCCGCCTCTGTGCGCCGCTCCCGCCGCCCTCAGCCACTCCGGCGCCGTCCGCGCCCGCCAGCGCCGCCGCGAGCGCATCGCAGGCTGCAGGGCACCGCGCCAACTGCCGCAGCACCGCCAGCCCCGCGCAGCGCTGCTGGTACCCCCCGTGGCCGAGCAGCTGCCCGAGCGCCCCGCCGGCGACGACGGGCAGGAGTGGCTCCAGGGCTTCTGCGGGCGCCTGCGCCGCGGCGGCGGCGAGCCCGGCCGCCGCGGCCAGTGCGGCGGCGTCGCCGAGCGATATCGCGTCCAGCATGACGGCCAGCAAAGGGCGCTCGTCGGGCCCGCCGCCGCAGCGGGCGCCACCATCAAAGTCGCCGCTCCCGAGGCTGCTGCCGCCGCCGCCGACGACGCCGACGCTGCTCGCCCCCGCGCGGCCCCCGGACGGCTCCAGCCCGCCGCTTGCGAGGCCGCCGGCCGCGCGGTGCGCGCCGTCCGGCTGCCGCTGCGAGCGCCACGCGCCCCAGTGACCGCACCCGCCGCCGTGCCGCGGCCGCCGCATGCCCAAGCACCACTCTAAAACGCGCCTGCTGCCGTCATCAAACACAACAAGCGCCCTCACAAGCTCCAAGGCTGCCACTGCATAGGCCTCGCTGCCCCTGGGCACCTCCTCATCCCCAGCCGCCGCTGCCGGCGCCACTGAGGTCAGCAC